GTTTTCATCAACGATTGTCTCAGGGACTTAGACTGTGATGTCACCTTGTTCGCTGACAACATAAAATTGTGGAAAGTTGTCCAAAATATGGCAGATGAAAACCATCTGCAAGCTAACATGAAAAAGATTGGAGTACTAGTGAAAGCACTGGTTTGTGCCTTTCAATGTTACTGAATGCAAATTTCTCCAAATCGGCAGTTTTAAAGCATACAGCCCGAAGATCTACTCCTTAAGCGGTACACCGATGCAACGAGTTTAGAATCAGAAGGACCCGGATGTGTGGCTTACGCTTTTACCCAAACTAACGCCAAAATGTACGAAGACGGCGAAGTCGGACATATCTATATTACGCATGATTAGATGAGCATTTATTGGGTTTTAGAAATATAGCTTTTCCGAAATATGTGGAACCTTTGTTCGCCCGCACCTGGAATTCGCTACGCAGACATGGAAACCCTGGACTGTCAAAGACTGTACCGTCTTAGAGAAGGTCCAGACGCGAGCGATAAGGAATTGCAAGAAGTCTGGGAACACTGACCTATGAAAGCAGACTGTGTCCCCTCGATCTAGTTCCTCTTTCCTACAGACAACTTCGAGGGAATCTCATACTCACATTCCTTATTATGATTAATCTGGATTGTTGCTTCGTCCCTGACGATTTCTCTACCCAGGCTAATGCACCAAATTTGCGCGGTTATCCCCTTAATCTACGCCCCGGCAAAGCAAGGTTCGACGGACAAAGATTATTTTTCGGCAACAGAATGACTGCAGCGTGGAACGCCCTTCCCGAGCAGGTTGGCCTCTCCACCTGTGTCAATGCATTTAAGAGCAGACTTGGCATGTACCAATCATATCGTAATACTTCTCCTGTGTTAAAGAGATATCACATTATACTACTACTGATTATCGAGTAGCCATGGCTTAATTACTATTTCGAGTACCGAGCAGCTGTTGTGGATTCACCCGGAATATGTAATTGACGTACCTTTTCATTTTTCCTTTGTATCCTTACATTTTCTATCAGACTGTTCAAAGGCGTTCGCCTATGTTCCTCTCAATAAACCGATAATGATACTGTACTGAAATGGACCGTGTGCTTTAAAATAAAAAGAGTAAAACCTACGTTAGAGTTGCAGTGCTAAGCAATGTACGTCTGCTTGGTTATATTTTTTCTTGGAGAAAGGATAAAAAATAATGTGGTAGGATCCACGGAAAGAGGAAGTTATGTCTAGGATTTTATTTGTGGACGTGAAATCGCAAACAAATGAGTAAAGTACAGGATGAATGGGCATGCATACATTCCCAGTTTAAATAGGAGTATTTAACTTTATTCTATTCTTAAGCTATAATTGACTTAAAAACAAAGACATTATCTCAGTGAATATCCGTTTCGTTTTTCAATGAAGGCATATCAATGTCCAACGGTTGCATGGAAAAGGACTCGGATGGCGGCTCAAAAGGCCCAAGGAATTTTTTACATAATAAAGTTTCGAAGAAGGAAGAAAAGGACATTAATTTGTGCCTGCAGTTCAAGCAGGTGAAAATCTTATAGAGAAAACCAAAACATGACCATTTACTTTTTTCCAAGGAATACGGAAATGGCAGTCGAATATTGTTGTGTAGTCCTAGACTCTAACACCTGAATCTGTCTCCTTAACATACGAACATTAACATATTCTCATCAAGCATCTTCGGCCTTACTAATTACTTGTGAAAACAAGATTTATTTTGAGAACTATGCGAGGTAAAGGAAACTATAGCTGAAAAGGTATAATGAACTTATAAGAGGTTCATAAGTGTACACCGGATAAGTCCAAGCGAATATTGCCAGGCAACATAGTAATGTTACTTACTATGTTTCAGTAACAGTTGTTTTATTTCAGGCATTACTGACAAAGACACTGGTGTCACTGTCATGGACGGTAATGCCTGAAATGAGAACTTATGAGTTACGCCCAACTTCCCATCGAAACCATACAAAAAACTTTTAGAAAGGACAAATGTGCCTCAATCCATCACGGGGAGCTCGTGCTGATATTAATTCCGGTTGAAATTATTGAAGGTGTTGAAACTAAAGTCGAGAACACACACAATCATAGTGTTCGAATGCAGAAAAAACTGCCCCATGAAGCCCTAAAAGTAATCACTCCTGTTCATTGCTTCCAAAAAATATCGGATTTTGGAGCTAGATTCTGAGGACATTTTACTCCAAAGCAGTCGGAAATACATATGAAGCGCTCGAAAATAATTGAAAAATTAAAAAAATCGTTCGGCACACGTATATATCCCGCTTTAATTTGGACATAAAAAAATATATGAACGTAAAGAAATCTACGGGACTTACGATCATCAGAAAATATCACCGTAAAGTATTTAGATAGCAAATACAGAAAAGTTTAAACTCTTCGGTAAATATATTCCGAAGCAATGATCTGCATATCATAAAAAATTAATCAAACTTCATTTTTTCGTCGTACCGTTCGTAATTCGACTTCATGCAAAATATTAAATCAAGTGCCAGCGCTCATGCATTTATTTGAAGCTTCTGATTACTACAGTGTTATTTTGAGAAGAGGAGGCATGCGAACAACGTAAGATGTTCGTCAAAATGGGGTAATAGAACAAATCTGTCTGTAACACATCCATCTGGAATACATGCGTTCCACGCCAAAGCATCAGGACATATGTTCTGCCTTCAGTTTTCAGTGGATTACTAAAAATGAGCTGAAATACCGCCCCACTAAAATCACTGTCTAAATGCAGAAGATTTAAACTAAAATGTACATGGATAATGGAAGAATACAAAACGAAATATCAAGTCAACGGAAACACCTTTCGCTGAAAAAGGGGATGATTGTGGTTTTCCGCGAGTGAGCAGAGCCCGAAACCATGTGGGAATCGTCAATTTTGTAAAGCTTTCTATATACCCTTATTTCTGCGGCGAAGGTGACTGAAAAAAGGTCAGAAAGAACTGGAAAGAACGCTGTGCATGAAAGACAAGGAAAATATGTGAGAGAAAACATCACGGAGAAGCACTGCAGACCCTTCAGCCGGGTTCGTGTCCTCCAGCCCAATCGACGAACCGACAGCCCTAATGAGCAACGCTTTCAACTTCACTAATTTTAGACGACTATTTCATTAATTATAGAAAATGCAGTAAGTTCATACTAGGGTGTTGCAATAAAAACGCAAGATTAGGTGGATTAACATTGTCCGCAATGACAACGGAGACGCGATGGCCATTTTTGGCTAATTCACGGTTATCACCCAGTCATACCTGTCTAATCACCTTTCTTTGAAAAACTATGGCAAAGGATCTTCTTAATTAGGTTGAAATGCTACTCCTCGTAATCAATAAATTGTAGAAGAATAAAAGTTTTGCGTGGCTAGCCCCCTCTCCCTGCGAAACTAGTCCTCCAGACTATAATTTGAGTGGTTTAGGTTACCTCATTTCCTCACCGTTCTTGCATTTAATTAAACATCGCTTTTTGATACGTTGATATTAACTACCGCTTACTCTTACTGGAATCCTTCACGCTGAACGGTCCTTAAGTATGATTAACAAACACTTAATTACATTCAGGGGCCCTTGATGCCTTTCTACAACATAAACGCTGCTCTGGCTGTCGGCTGATTCATTCAGTCTCTAGCTGATCTCATGTTTGTTTTCGAAAAATCCTCGTTTGTTAATACAAGTGCTATCTATACACCCGATCGCACACGAAGAGTGACCTTACTCTCGTCAACTCCTACGCACCAGTGAATGCCCGATCAATTTTAGCAACTAGCAATTTCTGAACGGTGTGGAAGACCCCTTTCACAGTTGGGTCGTCGAAATCGATGCTATACGCAGTTTGCTTCGCAGGGCTGACAGAAGATGCGGCGACTTGCCCGAGAGTGCATTATAAGTGATGGTAGACCTGGATTGCACCTACCGCACTCGCTCTCTTTCTACCAGTCACTCTCTTCCCTAAACCCAACCCTTATCCGGTATCGAGAGTGCTTTAAGGAATGCGGAAGCAGCATCCGGCGCAAGTAAATGGGGTGGAGTAAACCTGCACCTGCGTGCCACGATGACACTTCCTACTTCCTATGTTCGGCATTGTTATGGGAACGTGATTCGGGAGACTAGTGATGGGTTCGAGGCAGAAATCGAAATGTGAGGCCAGTAAACCTCTTCTTTTTCTGAACCGCTTCACGGAAATCACCTGTTCGTTTATATCAGCACTCAACTTAATTTGATCCCTGGTTACTCATAAGGGGTCGTCATCCCGTCATAAGATTATCTTCTAAAATGTACGAACTGGAGTTATTTTGTGACCGCGATTATTCACAAGAACACTGCATTGCATTTGATAACGGGACTTTCACTACTTACCGAAGTATTGCAGAAAAGCTACTCTTCTCAGTCTTGGTCGATTGAGATGTAATTTCTGCGTCTTCGTCCTTTTCTTTGTGGACATTCAAGTACTTTGTGATGACAAGCGCTACGGGCACAGTTATGCAGGCTGCCAGTCCGAGAAGATTCCATAGGCGAATCCCAAAAATCTTGGGGAACAGTTAAATAAATACAAATGAATAACAACAGTAAAACGACAAGTGAAAACAAATAGTTACTCGAACATTCTTGTTTGAGTATAAAATAACCCGGCCGATTATAGAAAAGTACTATTTAAGTAGTCAACACCGGACCATTGCAAAATGTGAGACATCTGGGTAATTTGGAAAAGTTGGGATGACTCACCCAGTCTGAAAATTCCTTTGTTGTCGGAGATAGGATCGGCCAAGTAACCAGAAGCCAGGTACTAAGGCCTGCAAAGCCGATAATGGTTGACATTCGCACCAACCGTAGGGACCGTTTCACCTCGGCAAGAGGCGGTTTGCCCTCGCTCAGCCTTGGCGAGAAGCCCAGATCCAGCTCACTAAAATGTATCGTGTGCATTTATGCGTTTTGTTAGAAATGCACTGCCATATAAACGCCATTTGTTAACGGGCGGTGTAGTAAGTTACAAATGCAAACTATTCCTCGTGTCTCGTCCTAGACCGTTCTTCAGAACAAACTTGGAGTAAGTAAGTGCTCTTCATAGGTATTGAATCACTATTAGATTACAAAATGCAAATTAAAATAAAATATCACTTCGGGTGGTGATTTGTAGTTATTAAGACCGTTAAACGTTACATTATATTGACTTCATTGCCCAACAACTATTTGTTTTATTGGCGCCATACGTTGGTATTAGATGAAGTCTCCTTCTAACGGTAGTTTCTGATTTGCGAGATAGAGTGGAATTAAAAACGACAGCTGGTTACTCAGTGCGTTAACTACAGTGGAACCTCTTTCTCGTGAAAAGTCAACCAAAACTACGAAGTGTGTTTTTGAATCAAACTAATTACTAGTGAGTTTGTAAAACCGATTATTTGTACCCTACTCTAAAGATACTTCAGTAATTTCAGGGTGCCGTCTCTGCAACGAGCTTTCTCCTTGTAACAAGCAATAACAAAATATGCATCAATTTTTAATCTGGTCTCTATGGTTTTCCCCTTTGGGAACCGAACGAGGTGTGACGACATGCTTAGGACGACTGCGGCCGCGCCAGCGGCCTGCGTTTCACCCCGTCCCTGGCCTTCTTGATTCGGCAAAGACAACGGGGCCGGATGATACAAGAAGAGAGAGGGTACATGCAGCAAAACTGTTCTTTTAATAAACGTTATTTACGTTTAAGTCCCTGCACTAACGTGCTGTGAGGCATATTGCCGGCCTCATCGAATACGACGGTCAAAACCAGGCGAAGCAGTGCTTTCACTTAGCTACTATATGAGATTTTTACCTATTCAGTTTTCCTCTCCTGTGATTGGGTGTCTCACTGTGAAGGTCAGCGGACTATGGCAGACATACAATAAAATTTCGTTCCGATTTCGAGAGAATGAACTGCGACAATGTCGCAGGGTCCATTTCCAAGGGTGTTTTCTCGGAGAATGGCCTGACCTGTCACATTAAAAAAAATAAGATGGGAAAACTTGCCGAAAGTAGAGTTTGGGCCAAGGAGTCAGAGGATTGTCTATGGCTAGAGTGGCTGCCCACACGGTATGGGATTCTTCGTCCGACAGGCTTTCAAAGAACGACATAGACCAAGCGATAGGAATGAGGAATCCCGCAATGAACGAGGTCAATGTTGCCACGAGGAGCCCAGTGGATGAAACTGTAAATAAAATAGTACACTCTTTGGGTGCGTCGTTCTGTGTATGCAATCAGTCCATAGGTTATACTCCGTAATAATGTTTATACTAGTCGACTTTAGTGCACCTAAAACATTGAGGCCTCTCGTGACAGTAGAAAGTTTAAAAATCCATTATGCCGTTTCTACTGTGTCATGAACCGTGTCTCCAACAAAGGTGTCGGATAAGTTTGGCAGGTGATTCCTGACACGGATATCAGGTACTTTTGAATAATTAAAACTGGGCTATCCGATTTTAGTGTAACTTAAACATTGAGTCCTACTTGGCAGATAGACCGTTGGATATCCTTTACGCTCTTACTGCCGTATCATTAACTATGTCTCCATCAGAGGTGTCGGATAAGCTTAGCAGGGGATTCCTGACGCTGATCTCAGGCTGTAAGTCGTAAATGCGACTGCATTTTATAGCACACTTAGGTTGATCACAAAAACCATATCAACCGACAGTTTTTAATTTGAATACTTTAAGCGCTGGTGATTATCAGAAGGTTCTTTTATGATAACCTCTGGTTATCGAATTGCTTGGGTAGCGTAGATATCGGTCATAGAGGTCCAAGTTGTTCTGTAAAATAGAATTTCTACACATATTGTATGTATTATGCCAATAGTTCCTAATTTCCGAGAGGTAAGTCTTTTCCTATTTGAGCCAGCAAAAATATGCATTATGATTTACCGAATGTCTAGTTAGGCACGGTTAACTTGAAGAGAGCTAGCCTTTTTGGTTATCATTTCTTCTCCAGGCCACGCTATTTTTCATTTGATGGATTTCGAAAAGGAACAAAGACATGCGTATATGTGAAACAAAATTAAGACTGGCCAAAACGCAGGGTATCCCCTGTTTTCGAAAATCGAAATGCCTCAAGCCATACAGTTAAGTTACCACTTCTCCAACCCCAGCTTATATTATTGTCCAAAGTTGCAGCTTCGTCAGTACGCCTGCTACCAGCCGTTTAGATTACAAAACATTTATTATTTTTTATTTGCAAAATTAAAATCGCACTGTTCAGTTACCATGAGCGGTCAGTACACTCAAATCACGGCACTCAAAATGTCAAGAATATGGCCGAAAGTGACAAGATAGCACAAATAATCCTAATGCCGAACACATTTTAAGAGAAACTATACGTTTTAGTGCGTAAAAACAGAGTCAGGACACCCCCTAACATAAACATCGCTATTTTAGGGTGCGAAGGCTTCCTTACTTAAAGGGGTACCCCGGCTCTTTGCGGAATCGCTTTAACTCTGATTTGGAGCTATCTGCTTAATTATTTTTTCAGGCACATGCTTGTTATCATAACACAAATAGAACAAAACCTCGTTTCCTTATCCCAAATAATCTTTATCCCGTCAATACAGCTTCTAAAATAAGCATACAAAATGTGCATTCGCTTCATAAAATATTTAATAAGTGTTGAAAAGCTTACAGTCACGAAATGCACACAGCTCATTTCAAGGTGATTCGCTGAAAAAAGGTAAGATTAGTTATTCAATTCGAAACTGAGAGAAGGCCACAACCAGGTCATTCATCCACGTATACGGTATAAAAACCACTGTACAGTTGCCGCTTCGGAGATCATGCAGTTGTTTCCACGCTGTTGAGAGTCGACATAAGCTTGACAGGATGACGTCAATCCTGGTACTGTAGTCGCATTTGCGGTCGTACGATCCGAACACAACTAAGAAAAGACTGTAATTCAGTACACACAAGATTTCAAACTGTTTGGACAGAGTAAGATAAGGGAGTTGGGACATTTTTATTCTGATGAACATATTTCCGAATTTTCCCATTTTATTGGCACAACACTTGCAAAATGTGAGAATTGCCCTTCCCAGGGATGTTTACAGAACACAAAGTTTGCTAGTGACGCGAGATCTTCTCTAAGTATGAAAACGTCAAGGATAACTCGTTGGATATATTGCTCATTTTCCATTTTGAATTCTACCTCCGGATGCAAATTATTCATAACCGTAAGAAGGTATTCAGTGTTTTCCTTGTTACCAAGAATCGTGAGCCTACCATCCACGTATATTCAATGTTGTTTTGTCATATTCAACTTTATTAATATATTTTTTTGTTAGAGACTCGTCGAGGGATGGCCTAAGCTCGACGATTAGGTTTTCAGTTAGGTAACATGCGGCAAGTGTCTCCGCAGCTTATTGAAATTTTCATTTTTTTCCCTTACATATTATGGCATAGCTTCATGGACTGAAAGCCAACATCTCCAGTGCCACTAATTTCTAAGTGGTTTATGTATTTTCCATCACTTTTCAAAATAATGCCTCGGCAAAAGGTGCCTCGGCAAATGTGACTGGCTGACCCAGGCGTCGAGACAAGCGTCTGCGAGCTTTCGGACAAGTTCACTTCGCCGCGAGCTAGTCACAAAAACACATTGCCACGCTCTAGACGAAATTGTCTAGTTGAATCATCCTGTTACGACCTAATGATCGTTGCTCGAAATGTGAATATTGCATCCGATATTTAATTGCTACTCCAACATTTTCAGTCGCAATTGCTTGGGTATGTTAATCACACTTTCTAAGGGATATATGTATCGAGGCACAGCTGCTGAAATGGATAGCAAGCAGATGCACTTATGATTCTTGTTACTCCGGTGTCCTGTTCAAAAACTTTTTTTCGGACTTAAAGGCTAAGAAAGAGCGATAAGCAGAGAAATTACGGAATTTCACGTTCAATCGGCTTTCGCTAGACATTCATACATAAAAAAACATACTCGGTATGAAAACTTAGGAAATTTATGAGACTTAAGTGAACACTTCTGATGCTTGTATCTATCCTCAGATCCCCGAATACATCACTACTTTCACTCGAACCTTTTTAAATTTTAGACAAACACTAAGATTGCAAATGTATAATTCGCCTCGGGTGTATGCGTTGGAGAATGTGACCCTGAAAAATAACTGAGTAGGTATAAAACTAATGTAATCTTAGATAACGGCATTGATAAGCTACACTGGAGTGAAACATACGTTTCTTTTCGATACATTCTCGTCAGGCCTTCACATTTATATGGTAATGAAATGAATAAACTATGGT